TTGCAACTTTTTATTTTGATTTCTACATTGTTGCGAGGGTATGGATTAACAACTTAATGATATTTCAACACCTAAGGAATTCTCTTTACAACAGACTCCCACTAACACGACTACTTTAAAAAAAAAAAAAAAGTCCAGCTGTTAAGCCATGGTTACTGACCATCTCTATGCTCTTTAGCTTGAAGAGATACAAAGTAATGCAACTTCATACATTTTAATTGCAGGACAAGATTTCCTGCATCTAAAAGCACATTCACGGGCAGCTAAGCACAGCCCACCTGACATGAAGTTACTCTGCAACTCTGCAGTGACCCAATCATGATACCGAGCCCTAATTTTATGAAGTCTTACCCAAAAGATATGTAGGCTTGCATGATAAAGTTTGTACTCAATCATATCCACTAAATCAAAACTATTCTTAGTGTTTAGAGCACACTATGCTGCAAGATAAACTGAGCTGAGTCCTTCCTACCTGCAGTCTGCTGAGTCTCAGGCAAAGAACAGCACTCAGAAAGGGCTAGTGAGAGTTTTTCAGAAGTTCCTGGTAGCAAGAATGTACAATAAACAGAAACTAACAGCAAGGAAAAGGAGGCTGCAACAAGGAAGTAATGGATAATAATGAGGAAGAGTAGAAATACTTTCTAAAGGAAAACTCCAGAAAGCATTTACACTGCTGTACAGACAGTTTTAGCGTTAAACCAGTAAGCATAGCCCTGCCTACTCTGTTGCAAACTGGGTTTAAAGTTCACCATTATGCTGGTTTGCATGACAAAGTAAAAACTCTGCAGAGCTTCAAATGCGTTCAGATAAAGGTTTCCATATTCCCAGTCAGGCCAGCATCCCTTGCTTTATTTTAGTATTTAGATCAGTTTACTTTTTTTTTTCCCCCCTGTATGTCCAGTTTACTGAAGATTTCTGCACTAAGAACTCCTAACTGCAAACTGGAAGTCCATACTATTGCAGCCCGCAGCAGATGTGTAGACAGAACCTGAGGTTTTGACACTAGAAATACAGGAGAAAGATTAGGCTTAGTACACTAGCTTTTGCTTTAGTAAAAGGGAAATTATTAGATTAGTTTAATGCTTCAAAGTTCCTATCAGTGGGGTCTCTCAAGTCAATCCCAATATGGTGATAGCGATTTTTCCTAGCTATTCAAGAAAATGCTGCTAACATTGATAGTTTTCAGTTCATGCCTGGTAGCTATTCAGTCACAAACAAGTTTCAGCTAAGCTTATAAAAAGGAAATGGTGGAATACGATGCCATATCAGTATACATTCTTGCTGAGAAAAGATCCTAAAAAGAAAGGAAAACAAAATAAGCAAGAAAAACACACTGCAGAAGTAACTGAGCTTTGTGATTAAAAGGACAGACACTGCATTTGTGTCATTCAGGTTAAAAAGTAGAGCTTTTTTGACACCACGCCTGGTCCTCGCATGGAAAAGGATTAAGCACAACTCCAAGATTCTTTCCTGAAGTGAAGACACTCTCTGTAAATGACTTTCTGATACTGCAGTCAAGGAGATGATAGACTCTTAAATTAATAACTAACAATCAGACATATCCTACAGCCCTTTACTCCTGTTGTGACCAGCTGCAAGAGCTCTTTCACAAGGTTACCGACAACATATCCAACGGACAGTATCTTTTAAGCATTTTACAAAATTAGAGACAACATAAGTTACAACTTTTCTAGGACAAGTTGAAGTACACATTCATTTGGAACCTGCACAAAACGTTTTGGAAAACAATACTAAAGATTCAGGCTGATCCTGAGCTATCAATTATATGAAATATCAGGCTGGCTCAATTGGCTTTAAAATCATGCTTACCACCACCATTAAAACACGAATCTCTCATCCTACCACCTGTTTAGGAGCTATTTTTACTCCGCTCATTGTTCATAAGTAAGTTTTTTCTTCTTCTGCCTTCTCCAATTGTTAAATATTCCAGGTCACAGTCTTTGGCATGCTACTAACAACAGTTAGTTATTTACTGATTGGTGTCAGGAATCAAAACTCAACAGCCACTGACATGACGGCACTAAAAGATCAGCATATGGCATTGGCAGACTAAACTAGAGGCCTTCTGCTACGACTACAGTATTAAATATAAGCTAATCAAATACTTAAATTTCTATCAGAAGGCCTCGGCATCAGTCCAAATACAGTGAATAGCACACACTTCATATGCAAGATGACTATGTCTGCATATTAATTGCTAGAGCAAATAAAGCTCAAAGGAAATCCTCCCTTGACTCAATAAACAGCTATGCCTGGGTTTTATTTCAGTTAACATTTAAACAATAAGCTAGATTGAAATAACCATCCATCTTAAACCAGCAACAACAACAACGGATGTGTTTGCCTAGACCTGCAGAATCTTTCTGGTCACTCTATGTTAACAAACCTCTGTTAGAAAAATACTGCGCCTAAAAAACTTGATGCAGCAGCAGCACTAGAAAGCAGCGCTCAGGCGCTCTGCAGCCCCTGATAAGCTTGCAAAAGAACCAAAAACATCAAGAATGAAGCAGCCTTCTTGAAACCCATGAACAGAAAGCATCAACATAAAGAACAAAAAATACATCTGGTATCAAAGTTGAAAGTTACTGTCTAGAAGAACAAGATAGGAGGTCCATGAATACCAGATGGGAAAAATGCAGTTGAACTCTATTTTGCCATCACAACAGGATACACATTTAAACCAACACCAATCACACAGGAGTCAGTGTCCTACGTGTCCCATGAACTGCTGCAGAGCAGAGCAGTGCCTAGTTTTGTGGCAAACTGGTAAGAATTTAGTTCTGCTTCTTTCTAGTTCTCTCCATCCCTGCTCCCCCAAAACGATGCATTTTGCTCGTGAAACACAGCTGTGGGAAGTAGTAGTGCAGGTCCTGATCTGCTACAGCAGATGTGGTGCTCTGACCTAACGCATCTTCAACAGCAGTTGGACAGAGTACTGCCAGCCTGCCTACACAAGTTCCTTCACTGATGCAGGCACAAGCGGAGTCCTTCTGGCAGGTCCTCCTTCACAGGTTTGAAAGAGTGGAGAACAGCTCCATATTTCTTGATTCCAGATTACATGCCAAAAAGCTACACAAACTGAAATGAGCCAAGTTTACTATTCATGAAAGAAGCACCTATACAGAGTATGAGCCCATGATACGTAAGGTCCCAGACATAACTCAGCCAGTACGCTGCAGTTCTGACTTGCAACACTTCTGGAGACTCTCCTGGTTGTACACTGGTTGTGGAGTATGGACAAAGATCAAATGAAGACCAGAAAATTCTATTCATTTGAGACCTGAATCAAGCATGAACGTGAAAGAGTTGCAAGTGTTAAAATACAAAGATCCGTGCCACTTGAAAAATGCTTTATTTGATATCCTAAGCACTCAGAAAATCTGTTCTTTAAAAAGAAAAAGGATAGACAGGTCCATGAAAAAAAATAAATAGCCCAATACCCTGAGCAACTCCAGCAAGTTGTTGTTTGATGAAGAAGAGAACATCCCCTGGCTTGAAAGCAAGTGCTATACAATCATGTATTGAATGCTCTGTGCAATTCCTGACACGACGTGCGCTTTGACTCAGTAAATACCTGTGACATTTGCTGTCCGCCCAAAGGAATGGAGCTTGGCGGCGTGGCAGACACAGCGGTGGTAGGCGGGAACCGTGGTCTTATTTGCATCCCACCTCGGGCCATAGGTGCGGTGATCATCTTTGAGGACAGAGGGACAACAGACAAAAGTAATCGCAAAACAAGAAATGCAGTGCACTGGCAGGATGAAAAGCACATGCAACCTCCAGGGATTAGGGCGAGGGGGAGCACGGAGCAAATGGTTAGTAAGCTTTTCTCTAAAGGTTAACCTAACGTGCTAGCTTACAAATCAAACTCATTCTTATACCCTTTCTATCCATTTGTAGAAAGCAACTAATGAATTCTAGATATCTTAAGAGGTGGTATCTAGATACAGACTTGTGGGTCAAACATTGCTATCATTTTCTTGAAAGATTATTCTTAATTTTTGCCTGAAATTTTGAATTTCTAGAATTCTTGGAAATAAGCGCTCTAAGACTGCTGTCAGGAATGCTCCATATAAGAGGCTTCCTATATAATGTCCTAGGTGTCTGTTCTGATGTGCTTTCCCCCCTGTATACTCAAAGGATTTGGCAACATTTGCATACACCATTTAAAATAATCTGGCAGACAGTTCAACAGCAACTGCCACCACAAATGCTCCAATGAGTTCTACAACAACGAGCAAAGTTTCAGAACAACCTGACCTATGACAGTATAACAACTCCACAGACGGGGCTTCCATCATTACAACAGAAAGGACTTCTGGGTTTGAAAAAGCTATTTCCTTCCTTTTGTAACCCATGGAACGGGTCCTGTAATATCCATCACCCTTGTCAAATATCCATTCCTCTGGTACTAGCTGTACTAAAATTTTCTGTTCTGACTCCATAAAGTAATCAGCCTCATATTTATTCACGCACTATTTGATTCTACAACTGTAACGACTGAGGACTCCCTAAGTACAATCATCATTTGGAACAAATACTGAAGACTAGTGTTAGAATGGGTTCATGTTTTAATAGTACTAGGGCTATGCTACTCCACAGTATCTTGAAGTGCCTTTCAGAACCATCAGCCTGCATGAGCCCTACAGATCTAGTCATATATATCTGCATAGTCTTATGTTACTTAAAATTCAGTATTATACCAGAAACACTATGAATCAGAGCATAACATAAATTTATGGGAAGTTTAGCATGTCTTGAGGTGGTACGCATGTAATTTTGGCAGTTACCATAGCAGTGAAAGAGCTTCTATTTGGTACTTTATAAATCTGCAATAAAATTTTCTAGGCCACTTTTTTCTAGGCCACATAGTTCATATGTCACCAGGGAACCTAGCAGGTTCTGACTAACCTAAGAGTTAACCTAAGAGTTAGAAGAAATCTCTTTTCAGTGAATAATTTGGGGCACTCTTGCTTATTGTTCTGCATAAATGGACTGAAGCAGCCAGCAACATGTCTCCAGGGAGTCAGAGAATGCATGTGCTTACGATTGTTAAAAATAAATAAAATTAAATACAACATAGCAAGACTGAAAAGGAAAGCAATAACTGATAAAGAAAATAGCGTCAAATTCAGCACAGCTGTTAGTTCACAACATCAGAGCGATGCAGTCCCTCTCCATCCAGGCAGGGATGGTCAGAGACAGGATTTCAAAACAGAAACAAATGAGAGCTTCAGACATCACACACACATGCGCATGTACACACACAGCATGCAACAGCCACCACAAGCAAACACAACAACCCAGCACTGGCACAAAGCATAGGTGAATGCTACAAAGTGCAGTGAAGAGCTACAGTATCAACATGAGAGCTGGTGAAGCAACATAACCCTAACAAAACAAAACAAAAAAAAACAAAAAAAAAAAAAGGAAATTGTTGGCAAAACATCCTTCCAGGCACAATCACCCCATCACAGACCCTCGTGAATGCACATGGATCTTCGGAGTGCGTGAAAACCCAGGGATGTTACGGTGACCCACGTGTCCCATCTTGGTCCTGTTTCTCATGCCACACCACCAAAGTGCGCAGATTTAGAATATTTCCTCTGAGGTCAAGGAAGTTAAAAGTATATTCACATTTTAAGTGTCTGGCAAACCATGGAACACCAGCAGGACAAACTCCAATTCAAAGGCTTTCAGCTGTTTCTTGCATTGTGGTTGTTTGGTCATGTGTGCGTGCCCACGCAATTTTGGTCTTGTTTTTATATTTTGAAATAAGTGCTCTTTGGAAAGGAAGTGTATATATAAAGTGACACCAGTTCTACTCTCTTAGCAAAAGGAATCTATTTTTCCCCCCCATTCTTCCAGCTGTTCAAAAGTTAGCGCTCACATTTACAAAACCTGTGACCCTTTAATAAAGGATTGAGGAAAGAAGGTTCAAAGATTGCATCTGTTTTAGGCGAAGGAATGTGTCTATAAAAGACTTGTTCTACGATAATTGAAAACTGGGAGTCAACAAGAAGTGTTTATGGACTTTTTCAAAAGGACTTAAACTGAAGGTAAATCCTTTTCCACAACTGAAATTCAGATAAATCAATTTACAGAAATAAGAATTTTACCCAAAGAACAGAGAGGAAGCAGAGGAAGAGAAAGAGTCTTCCTTCATTATAAGATATAAAAAACATTATTTGATAAAAAATGAACTGGAATATAATAACCAGAACTGTGAACCAGTAATTTTGTTCTATCTAAAACCCAAGGATTCAGAATTCCTTAAACATGCAGCTTCCAGTAGGAAAATAAGCATTGCACTGCCACTACCACTCCATTAAAGGCAGGCCAGGTCTAATTTTCAAAGAGCAATAGCTAATCTAAATTCTGTGCACCTTAACAAGTTGCAGCAGAATAGTGGTTTAAGCTTTGTTCATACCTAAATCCAGTTGATTACAGCTTTTCTTTTGGTGCTCCAAGCACTTCTGTAGCACTCTACGGTCACTAGGACACTGCTTAGTTTATTTACCTGCTTTACTTGTAAGTTATATTCTCCTAAGGACTAGACACCCAAGCAGCATAACACTGACCTGAGCAGTGTCATTATGACAACTTCAGAGAAAAACTTTAAACTCACATGGATCCATGTCTGAACTTGGGATTGATTTTGGTTTTACCTAGAAACACTGAACAGAAGCTTGATGGAAAAAGGAAAATGCAGGCATACCAACGCAAATTCCCAGTTTGAAAGCCCACAGAGACCAAGCTTAACTGTAACAAATAAATATTAGGATAGAATTTGTTAAAAATAAAAGTTTCCCAGAACCAAATGAGGAAATCAAGACAGATTTATTAATTCTAGTGATAGCAGAAAATAGACTAAAGACAGGAACGGAATCTAGTATCAAAAGAAACTTATAAAAATCAAAAATAATCCACCCATGCTCTCAAGACCAAAGCTGTATCATAATATTCTACAGAGCTACAATCTTAAAACTAAACACTATATAGAAAACTGTTTATACAAAGTATAAGAAACCAGTTTAATTATTGGACTTAGCAGCATTAAGTGAATTTTAGTAGACTTATATTGTAACAGCACGGACAGAAATGGAATAAGCCTGTCTACGGAGTTTAGAAAACTCCATCTGTGATAGATAAGCCATGTGTACTAAACTCAAGGATTGCTCTTTAACAAAGCTGCAATGCAAAACCAGGTGACAATCAACCATCTTATCACCAAAAGTGTTTTGAATGCGCTGTGGTATTAAGCCACTGGCACATGAATTCACTAAATGGGGCAATAATTAAGTTGCTTCTACATAAGTACCATCCATCTGATTAGGAGTTGGAAAAAGCAAAAATAAGTTAATGGGGGGGGGGGAATCAGTCTCCTTTTGCTCAGCCTAAGTCCCTTCAGGTCCCAAATGGAAATTATTCATGAAACAAAAGTTTTAATTCACATTTCAACTGTAGTAAATGAATTCTACATTGCTGCCAGTACTGTATAAACTCTACTTACCACTGCTCAGCTTCAGCATCCTGTATTATGTTAACACAAGCAAAAGGACCAATATGGAAACAAAACTCAGCCACCAACAAGCATCTGGCCTATATGAGGTTGAGAGTGTATAAGACACTATTTCTGATATAAGTCTGGCAGCCAGTTGTTATCACTCACCCCATTTAAAAAAAAAAAAAAAAAGAGAGAAGCCTTATTGAAACTAAACTACTTTTCTGCTGAGGGGAAAATGCTGCAACATGTGGAGTGTCTGAGGAGACAGACAACTTTGCATTATCCTAGTCAACCTCATTTCATGAGGAAATGGAAGCTCTCTTCATGGAAGAGAGCTTCCTCAGTCTCCTCATTTACAAAGCGGTAATAATTGTACTTACCTATGTCTATAAAATACCTCAACATGAAACACTACAGAAGTAAACCAAAGACTTTCATATCCTTCTGGAAAACGGGATGAGGGGTTCAGCTCAAGCAATTCCTCATTTTTTTTTTTCCCTACATCTCCTTCACACTAGACATGAATCAAAAGAACAATAACTGGGGCTACAAGTGTATTGCAGGTAAAGAAAACTGGGTTAGACAGTAAGCTTTCATCCGGCACTTTTTTTTTTTTTTTAAAACGTAACTGCACTTTTGATACATGCCATTTTTTTCTTCACAATTCACATTCACAACGAGGGCAATTTATAACTACTGCCCAGTTCACTCTGAAAAGGAATGAAAGATGAAAGGAATGAAAGGGAAGCACAGAGCGATTTCATTATCTACGCTACTTTTTGTGCTTGATACATGGAGATGGAAGGTAGACCACATGTGAGTTAAGACTAGCAGGCAAAGATTCACAGAACAGAAATCAGGTCACACGACAAAAGAGTTGTCTGAAAAAGTATAACGAGAGTAGAGGTGATACACTTCAGGAACCAGCAGTCAAACTTGTAGCATGTCCATAGTAGGCTGTCTTATGGGTGTGCACTCCTACGCCACTATAGGCAGCAATTTTACCTACTCAGGACAGAGAACGTGCACAGAGAGGTTGTCAATGAAATCCTGCCTCTGACTCCAAGCAAAGGAGAAAGCATAAAACCCCCATCCCCTTTATAAAAAGGGGATGACCAGCGTCAGACCCCTCATCAGAAAGCCACCAGAAACCCATCTCCATGCTCATCTTTAACATGCACTTGCTATAGGCCTGCACTAACGATACTGGCTCCAGGGCCCTTACCTGTCCTGAAGCTCCCATCTGAGCAGCTTGGGCCTGAGCTGCTTGCACTGCTGCTGCCTGCTGCTGCTGCTGGACCAGCTGAGCTCTTACCTTGAGTATGAAAAGAAAGAAAAGTAAACATGTGTAACTGATTACAGTATGACCCTTCTGTTTCATTAAATTAACCACACGCTTACAAAAAAAATTAAAACAAAAAGGCAACACAAGCATATTTTAGAGACAAGACTTAAAAATCAGTCTCACATACACAATCTAGGATAGCTTTTAACTTTATGAACTCAAGTGCCCAGGTTTCTAAGGTTTGGAACAGTCTTCCCAGAAACTGTGCCCTCAATGTCCGACTCTTTCTTGCAACTTCTTCCCTTAGACATTTCCACTTTCTGGCAAACGTAATTAATCGTGTTGATTTCCCTCAAGCACAGCATGAAGCACCTACGAGTGACCAGCATTTAAAGTGTTTTTATATGTTTCATTCAGACTGTCAGAGGGATGCACATGATATCTGAACTACTCCTAGACTAGCGAGAACGAGCACAAAGTCGATAAATCAACTCTCCCACGCGGGGTCAAGAATTTCCCAAGCGGGGCTGGCCCTTTACTCCCCCACCCCCAGCAAGGTCCAGAGAAAAATAGGTCTCCGGATTGTGACCGAGATTTTGCTCAACAGCACACAGCACCCTCTGAGCCCATAGAAACTGACCATAACATAACAACTAGAAAAACCGTGCCACTAACAGCACAATCTCAACTTCTAAAAATGAAGTAATAAAAGATTCAGCAGAGTAAAACTATCACCCTGTCCACACGCTCTTCCAGGCAGGAACTACCACTGTCTTAACTTTGGCTAAAACCACTACACACAGCAGCAGAAGCAAAGTCAGCGTGCTAGAGAGCCAACACTGGCACCAGTCACATGCACTAGGCCCTCCAAAGCACTTGCTAATGCTCTAAAACAGCATTCATCACGGAAAAGTGATTTTTACCAGGGTTCATTCTTTCCTTCTTGTCCATCCCAGAGTAAGTCAAGAAATAAATTTTTTAAAATCACACATTTCCAGAATTCCCAGTCTTTGTGGATACTGGATTGTTCTGTGATGGCAGGTCCAGAAGTAATCTTTTAATGTCACCATACTCATAACAGGCTAACCACAGATCTTTTAATAAGCTATGGCATTTCCTACTCCATTATTAGCAAAAGCCAAGACATTTCTGTTTCTCTAAAGGACCATCAGTCAACAGTCAGTTGGTCACTAGCCCTTACCTGCATTGCTTTCAGTTGTTGTGGTGTGAGAGTGACAGGCATAACCTGACTAGGAATTTGTCCTGAGATCGCCTGTGCCTGAGACACCATGGGCTGGGGTTGAGGCTGGGATTGTGGTGGAAGCTGAGTCTGCTGTGCCTGAGCAACCTGTTGTTGCTGCTGCTGCTGCTGTTGTTGCTGCTGCATCTGTTGCATCTGCTGTTGCATTACTTGTTGAGGTGGCTGCTGCTGTATCTGTTGCTGTGGTATTTGTTGCTGTTGCTGCTGCTGCTGCGCCTGCATAGCCTGCGCTGCCTGCAGCTGCTGCATTTGGGCAATTCGCTGTAGTTGCTGTTGCTGCTGCTGCTGCTGCATCTGAAAAGCAGGAAAAGCAACAATGCTAAAGCTTCCAGCAATGCTATAGCAGCCTTATTTTTACAGGATAGGCCAAGAGCAAACAGAATGCTAATGCATCAGGATGAATATTCAAGTCCAAGTTGAAAGCCCAATCTTTTTAAACACTCACTCTTCAGATATATCACTTTTACATAGAGCATATCCTGTAGTTTCACTCTCAGTGTGAGAAACTTGTCTCACCCCTAAAACAGTTTTCAAAAGGCGAAGACAAAGCCCATCAGCTTCTCCCCTACAAACGGGCTCAGAAGCACTTCTTCAAATACAACCAACTAGCACCAGCACCACCATTTACCAGAACTACACAAGACCTTAACAACTGATGATTCTTCTTCTGCTTTTGTGCCTAAGAATCATGCATATATTATGTTCTTGGCACACAGTTTAAAGTGGCAATGAGTAATTCACACAGTGACAAAACAGTCACTATTTCTAGAGTAGTGGAAGCATTGGAATGGAACTCTGCCCTGAGGTTTAATCAAAAGAAAGGTTTTAACTCTGTTGCTATGACAGAAGCAAGTTATCAAATGATTAGATCATAAAGCCTTTCTTCTAGAATGCAATACGCTGTTGCCAATTAAATTGCCAGTCTAAACTGAAACCCTACCCCAAAACAGAAATGTCTTAATAACAGGCAGAGATAACATTCAGTACTGCCATAAAAGCCAAAGCTCCAGACAGAACAGCGTCACTGGACAAGTAACTCATCACAGATCACCTCAATTGCAATTGTGATTGTTTTGTTTGCCATTACCTGCTGCTGGTTTTGCTGCTGCTGCATTTGCAGTTTCAGCATGTGCTGTTGCTGCTGCTGGACAGCTTGCAACTGCTGCTGTTGCTGCTGCTGTTGCTGGGCTGCTGCAGCTGCTGCTGCCTGCTGCTGCTGGACCTGAAACTGTTGTTGCATGGCTGATTGCTGGGCCTGAAACTGCTGCTGCTGCAAAGCCACCTGCTGCTGCTGGAATTGCTGCTGCTGCTGCTGCTGCTGCTGCGCTATCTGCTGAAGCTGAAGTTGGGCTAAAAAGGGGGTAGAATGAAACCCAAAACATGACAAGAGCCATTACCCAGTATATCTTAAATTATTGTGGAGTTAATCTTTAAAGTACACGAACGTTCTTGGTTAACACCATATAACTTTGCATCCTCAAATGGAGCAGGGACACTAACAGCAGAATTAATGGCACCTCCAACTACCTCCCTCTACACCTCACTGCCTATATTGAGGCAGCAATCTAAGTGCAAAGTGTAAAAAGTGCAGGAAGAAAGAATGTGGCTCAGTGACCACTTGAAGGGCCAACAATGGGAACACAGCATAGTCTCCATGGAAATCTCTGAGAAAGAGAAGCTCCTAGAGACAACATCCACAGAAGCCACCAGCAGGAAACACAGCCACAGTAAACATAGGTGGGCTCCACAGAAGCAGCAAAGTCCTAAAATTGACATGTGGGAGGAAGGAGGAGGCGTTTGCTCATACAACAGCTAGTTTGTTCCCCGTTACACAAAGGAAGACATTTAGCCCATGAGGTAGAAGTATTTGAAATTGGTTCTCCTTCCTGTACTTCTCCCTGACCATTCGGCCAGAAGTATTAAATAGAGCAATGTACTGAAAGGGTAGTCTAACAATTTCAGTGGCTGAAACTAAATGAGTACTTACTCTGCTGAGTAGCTGTAGAGACACCAGGCATCCCATGAGGGGCCATCCCCGAGGTTCCAGGGGGCTGCTGCTGCCCAGGGAGACTCATCTGTTGCCCCATTGGGCCAAGGCCACTCATCCCGCTCATCGGTGCTCCCTGAGCTCGTGAAGCCATGCCCATTCCAGGTGCCCCTGCTGGGGGACCCCCAGTTAGATTCTGCAGGGCATTCATAGGATCTACGAGAAAATAGCAGTTACTGATGTGTAGCCTGACATGCAATTGCTTTCCCAAAATTCTCCATTCTCTGGCATCCACTCTGACCTACTGGATTCAGACCATGCCTACATCTAAAACTCACTGCGCTGCCAGTGAGACCACAAGAAGCTTTTGGCAGATCTTTGCCTCTCTGTAAAAAGAGTAGAGATTATTTGAAATGCTTTAGCTTTGCAAAATTTCAAATAAATTCTAAATATATTAGACAAAAGGAACTCATTAGGCATCTCTGGATATATACGGAAGACAAAACAGGCTGCCAACAAAACTCTTGAGGATATACAGCTTGTAACCTCAAAAACCAAGAACAGAGCCCCACTGTAGATCCAATCTGGCCTCTTCCTCCCTAGGTCAACATGGAGGAGTAATGTTCAGACCAGACAAAATACCTTGACCTTGCAATACAGCTCCCCTAGCCATAACATCACATTTTTATGCAGGAGATAAATTCAGTATCTTTCAGTCAGGAGAACTGTCACAACCTGAGTCCCGGGCATTCAGAAAAGTGAAGTCAAATAGGGAATAGGAATTCAGAAGGGCAAAACACAGTATGGCGTGCAGAAGCAATATTTGTTTTGTTCATCAGTATAGAACACAAAATCCCCTCTTCCTTCAGGATACTCATCAAATAATTTCTAACTGTCTAGGTTGGATGCTAACCAGTCCTAGGCACTTCACACTTAACCGAGACAGGGATAAAAGTGGTATATTATGTTCCTAATATATAATGCTGTAAGAATTATCACAGAGGCAGAAGACATAATGCAGATCTAACCTTAGCCAAATGACAGAGTGCATATACCCCACAAAAAACAAAGCTCATTCCTAATGCAAAACACCGAGGAACGCAAAGATGGCAGGGAGAAACCAGGACTGCCAGCAGGAGATTGTTTTCAGCCACTCTTATTCTTTGCTGTGAGTAAACAGACAGGGAAACAAACAAGTATCCTGTGTTACACCCAAAACATGGCTCAGGCCCATCGCTCCCACCACTGAACAATTCATGAGACCATCACACTACCTTTCCTTTTCTCCAACAGCATTTAGTATTCCAGCTCTGAAATCCACAGCCTTAACACAAAGTGGCCCTGGTTTCTGAACTGTTCTATTTGCGGGGATGAGAGGGCAGAGAGAAGGGAGGAAAGGCAGGAGAGGGAGAAGGGGAGAAGAAAAATAAAACTGGAAGCTCTTACCACTGACTGAAGCCTGAGATTTCTTATTATCTGCAAAAGGAGAACAGAAGAATTGCTTTTGTTAATCTTGCCACAAGCAAATTTAGCACTTTAGAAACACCCTCCACAAGAAATATATTCCCATCATAAATAATCACTATTTACTGTAACTCTACCCATCTCTGAACAGCTTACCAGACCCACTGTCCAAGACAGCTGTATCATAGCTATAACAAGCACCATAGTAGAAAGATTTTCATCTTTATTATATAGCTTCAGGACTGAGCATGTAGAACAAAATGTATTAAGCTAAACTAATCTGGTAATCAGAATGCTATATAAACAATGAAAAGAAAGATACAGGAAAAAAGGTGAAAGAGTAGTAAACTCAATTTCTCACAGACTTCACTTACAGACATACGCTGCAAAAGAAACAGTATTTAGGAATTGAGCAGGCATATTACAGAGGAAATTGCTAGACCAACTCATGAACAGCCACATGTGGGACCACAGGTACAAACGCTAATATTTTTTTTTTTTTTTTGCTGCTTCTTATGAGCAGTCCTGTTACTGGGGAAAAAAACAAAGAAAAGAATAATTACTTACGAATGTCTCGAAAATGGATAATAAGTCTGGCCACAAGAGAAAGATATTCCTCCTAAAGGTGAAAATGAGTATTTTAACATGGGAAACAAAAGAACAGCAACTTTCTGGTCCTTCAGCGTTCTTCCTCATCTTCAGCATGACAGATTTTCCTCTACAAGGCCAGTGAGCTTTTCAAAGCAGCTCACTTGCAAAGAACCGTTTGTCCATGTACTAAGGGGGAATATTTTCATTAGAAAGTCATTGTGCTTGAGAGTACCAGATGGCAAGAGGTCACAAATTCATAGCAAAGAACAAGCAACCTCTGTGACAGTCATACTAATAGGACCACAATATGCGTATCCAATTATAGAAGAAAACATCCATTTTTCATTTTTTCCCCATTCTAGCTCCTTGTGCTTAAGGATTGAACCTTCTTATTTGGTACACTGGCTTATTTTAATCTGGCTTTGAACTATGTCACATTCATACAGCAAGAATTTTTTTTAAGCTAAGTTAGTATTACAAAAATAAATAAGTCAACATCTCTAAAGAGTAAAATTGTCCAATTTACCTGGCAAAAGTGCCAGAAATGAAAGGACAAGAAGTCTTTGTATTTGTGCTTCACAATGGCTAACAGAAACTGCCAGACAGCTGAGAAGGTCCTATCTCCACGTGAAACTGCTAACTCAGCCAGTGAGGAGGATGCCATCAGTAGGCATACATTTTTGATGGAAACATCACACAGCTCTCACCAAGGTAAGTTTTATCTCTCAAAGATGGCTTGTTTGGAGGCAGCAATAGCATCCAATTTCTTATAAGAGAGCTCTAGGAAAGAAGCTTACATCTGGTTAGGGTCTAGAACTGTACAAATGACCTCCACAGAGACCTCAGCACTTCCTTTAGTCTTACTCCTAAGACAGTCTTTCTATTGATATCTTATTCTCTCCCAATCACCACGTTAGTCACATGGAATAGTGCTACACTGTAGTTAAAGAAAATTCTGTACAGTTCACTACATGCAGTCTTCAGATTAAGCTTAATTAAGCACAGTCCCACACATTACATGCTGCAATATCAGCTAAGCTGTCTTAGCCTGAAGCCCAGCTTCCTATCTTGATACTGCCCTTTTGGGATGCAAAACACTTCCACTTACTCTCAGGGGAAAAGGATCACCCTAAATCCAAAATCTTGCGTAACTAGATACTCTCTAAGCAAAGACTAACAGCTAACTACGTGCATGGGGTTTGCTGTTTCTGTGGGTTGTTCCTAACTTCTTTTGAAATCCCAGCAGCTCGTGGAAATACAGAGATGCTTTACCCTTGTTTTCGCCTTCATGAAAACATGACTCTCCATATCTTTGCTGGATTTATTGTGGGCAACACCAGCCTTCCTCATAGCTTCATCACTGGAAAAGAAAAGAAAAAAAAAGGATGAACATTAATTGAGGACATCAGAAAACATTTTATGTAATTAAAAAGGTCTGTATAACAGCTTCTTATCCCTTTCTTTTTGACAGATCTATATATAGACTAAAAAAACTCATGCATTACTTGCAACTGCTGCCCTTTAAAGATTTCTTCAAATAACTGAAAAGAACCCAACTCATTTCTAAAAGGCAGCACAAACATTCTCTGCAGATATTCAAGAACTACTGTTAGGCAAGCCATTACTTTGCTACCTGAAGTATTATTTTGACCAAATGCCAGAACCCGTTCATTTGAGGAAAGTTGAATAACAAGATTAATGTAATCCATATTCTGTGAACAATGGGCCTGAGCCTGCCTAGTATCACACATTTCCGAAAGAGTCCTCTAAACATAAGGTAGAAGAATAAAAAATAAAATCATAAAAAACACACCGCAGATCGCACAAAGCCACAGAGGTTTGACCAACAACCTGAAAAACGTGGGAGCATTGTTCAGGACAGAGAAGGGGAGATGCATGTGCGCGTGCAAGGAAGAAGGGGACAAACAATATGAAAGCAGCAGGTGAAGCATTAGGATGAAAGGAAGGCTCTGCTGTTGGGAAGTTGAGAAAAAATGAAGGGAGTTGTTAATAAAAAGCTTTCCGTTCCCCTACTCTTCCTTCCCATCTACCAGCCAGAATACTAGGGACCTACTGCCCTTTCTCCACCACACCTCTAGTAACCTGGATCGAGTCCTGCCTTCTGGATGGAAAAGTATACACATGAGAACAGAAGAACAACATAGCTCAAAAACATACCGCTAAGGACACGAAGGGGAGAGAAGGGGCATTCTCAGTACCTCAAAAAGTTAAAAGTAATTCCGCTATGAAATATGCGCAGAGATGAATACGTCCTGCCTGAAACAAGAGTTCAGTCAGGTGAAAAGCCCGATTCTAATCTTCAGGGCATTCTCAGAAGCTCATTTTGCTGCAAAACTCTTTGTGTTTTAATGTAGCCTAGTAGCTACAGTTTAAATTCCACAACAAGTTACCTGGAAATACTTCTACCTTACTTACCTTGTAATTAACATCTCATCAACTTAAATCTCAGTAAGTGTTGTTGCATAACGAACTAGCCTACACTAAACAGATCCCTGAAAGTTTCAGTCAATCCAAATCAGGACCACTCTTTTCCTCCCCTGAATTCCTACTACATCCTTTGCAGCAGGACTGGCGTTTATATCAGCTGCAAGCTGGTTTAGTTGCCTGAACTCAATCACGCAAGTGAAAAGAGCAAATGCAACAACCTCGACATACAGGGGCTTAGGCTGCCACAACTCACACCCTTGCCTTGCAAGTAGTGGTCTAGTAGCATGTACCTAACCTACTGTAGTTTGCAGAGAAGTAGACGGTAGAGTGTAGCTAACCTGATGCAAGTCTCCCTCAAGGTAAGTTGCTCATGTGGCCAGAGAGACACTGAAAAAGTTGTTTATACATGAAGGTTATTTAAAATGAAGTCAGATGTGAACATAAAGCAGAATAACTATTCCTTCTTGTGCAAACGAGCCTTGAAGTGAGCTACTCATAAAGGAACTCCACTGCAGAGGAGGAAGCTACATCCAGTCCTTCGCTGATGCCTCCCTTATTTCCATGCTTTCCCTTTCAGAAAGGCTGCCACTAAATCCACACGACTGTTTGAATTCTCTCTAACTCCTCAGCTGCACATTACAATGACAGTGCATCTCATTCTGAAGGCAGCAAGAACTGAGAATGCAGAAACAAGGAAAAGATTATGCCAAGGCAAGTAAAGGAAGTAACATGCAACTAGTACTAAAAGGCTATGATGCAAAAACATGAACTCGGGAAAAAAATACCATGCAAAGAGAAATTATGTACTTTTATATGTATCTGCTATTTCCTTTTGATATTATAGAACATGAAAAATAGTCTTCTATTTATTCTTCTATTTCACATCACATCTGCATTACCAGTAACGACACTCAAGGTACTTCATATCATAACTATTGGTATTCCAATAAAAGCTTAGATGGGGGGGGGCGGGGAAATACACAGAACTGTTGGTTTGTTTACAATCACATCCCACGCACAACCAACAAAAATCTCCGTTAAAAGACTAGGAAATTCACTAATAAATACTACAGCTTTAGCATCTAGTTAAGGATAGAGTATTGAATCACATCCTTCCAGAAGACTGCATTCACCAAAACTTTGAAAACTAGATGATACCTGACAACTCAACCTTCACCTGCCTCATAAGCACTTATTGAATGCATCAAAAGATGCACACTGAATCTCTGCCTTTGCAGTTCATGCAGAACACTCAAGGTTGCAGTTTCATAAGATGAAGCACTTAACAGCAACACAGGCTTCAGGGACTCCCCTCCTTTCCCAAAAAGCTTGTTTCTAGCCCAGCAATGTGCCACCTCTCATTGAGGCCAACTGATCCAGTTGAAAAACTTTCAATCAAAATATGATATTCTTCAAAGCTATACCAGCTCCCCAACCAATTCACGCCACGATTGCATGGATCAGTCGTCCCAATAAGACTGCAGGGCAATGAGTTGCAGGATCAGCAATATATTAAGCTGAAGCCAGTCTTCATCACCAAACACTGCTTTATGAAATAGGATGCGTGATCACTACAACACTCCGTTCAACAAATTTTTCTGCCATGACAAAAAACACTCAGGTGAACCGAGTTAGCCACATCTACCTAGCAGGATTAAAAGCCTCCAAATAAACACCACCAAATAAGCTTTTAATCACTAATCTGTGCACATGACATTGCCCCATACATTTCTGTTACATACAGATCAGGTGTAACATGTTTCATCACTGACAACCCTCACTGCAATACCACCCATGCGGTTAGATACCGACAATACAGACCAGCAGGACACCCAAAAAAGGAGTCGTTCCATATTCCTTTGTTCATATTTGCTTGACAGGACACATTATGGCCTAAAGGGCCTTCTAGTTCTCCAATAACTTAGCATCTGCCCCAGTCCCACAGAAAACTGCCTTCAGCTACAGAAGGGAAGGCAGAGGTCAAGCCCACCGTGGCAAGGCCTTGTCATGGCACTGTCTGTCTTTCTCTCCAATCCTGCAGAGTCATGACAAACCACCTTCCCACTGCCCATGGAGAATCACCCTCTCATAGCTTCACAAGCATTTCCTCCATCAGAAGTGACTAAGAAGCTTCTCCTTCCAAATTATGCCAGTACAACCGTTTCTGCGGCTGCGTGGGCAGCAGTACTGAAAAACAGTGCTGGTTAAAAATAACCACTTTTCTCAACTTCTTTTTAAACGTCGAAAACTTTCCGTATCAGGTTCACTCCATGGTGACTCAAATAGTTGCAATGAAGAGGTATCGCAAAGGCAAAAGTTCCTTCAGTTCACAGTTGTGTCAAAATAAGCTTTTATAAAGTTAATCCCCTCACTTTCTAGAGACCCAAGGAGGGAGAAATACCTACCTTCTTGACTCGATTTTGCCTCAGGCCTCAGAGAACCTAGGCTGGAATATAGAATTAAGGCTGCTTTATGAACTGGTTTTATGAAATATTTAATTGGGAGCAGCAATGCAGATCTTCCACTTTTTTCACTCAAGACACTTGAGCTGATCCTGTCGTCTCCTACCTGCTGTTCCTCGGTCTTCACCTCAACCTCCCTCACGTGCTTTCAACATTCACATCCTTATTTACATTTACCATGGGCTAAACCCTTTGCAATCTTAGGCAAAAAGATATACATCAAAATTTGGAGCAAAAAACTCAACTTTACATTTAACGATCATGACATAAGTTATGTTGAGTACAGAAGAATATGCTTCCCTTCTAACATAGACTGTAAGTAGCATAAGGAAGGAACTGTACACAACTGTGTATCAATTTTACCATCAGGCAATACAGTTCAGGTTTGTCCTTCAGGCAATATCAGCATTTTAAAACATATTATGGAAAGGTAGTTAGAAGAGGAACCCCAGAGGCTTTAGTCTCGAGGCACCAATATGTGTCTGCTCCCTGTAAGAGCAGAATAAAGGGGTGCTTTGCAAGCCCAAATATACAACCACACTCCTACATTTTCTCCATCTCCTGCAACGACCTGAGAGGAACTAGAACTGCTCCCTGGGCTCAGCCATTTAAGCTCAAGGATTCCTGGATCTAGCAACAGTATGAAAGGTGTGCCTGGGCCTATGGCCAAACAAGGAAAAAACTTTCAGAAGATATTTGTTTTAATTACCTCCCTCTCTCACCTACTATGTAGGCATTACTAATAGCAAAACCGGAAGCTTACGAAAAGAAATGGGAACTTGTTGCAAACACAACCCAGGTTGTTTTAGGAAACGTACTGATCCTATTTCTCATTGAATATAGCTATTATACATCCTAGTTTTGGCTAGCTTCACTTTATTCCAACATGATACTGAGCTAGGCTAATTTCAGATATGCACTATATGTTAATACACTTCCAAAAAAAGCCTACTGTAGTCACTGCACACTTATCTCAATAACAAGTTCGTTCGCTTTTCAAATAAGATAGAATACTTCATACGTTTACATTCACTCTAAAGCAGAACGGGGCACAAGAAAGCAACTTCACTGACAAAACCCAGCTTTAGGGGTAAAAGAGTTGTATCAATATATTTTTAATGCAAACCATACAGACTCTACACAAGGGCATCTGTGCATATGTGTGAGAGTCTTTAAACAGAGTGAATTTTAATTCTATTTCCTCACAAAAATTAAAAGTTTAAAACAACTGGTAACTTTTCATATGTATATATGAACATTTTGCCTCAAAAGAGAAAAAAATTCTAAAACTACTGAACAAGAAAATCTTTATCTGATACTGTATGCTTCCACTGAAACATTTATCACCATTTTTAAAGTATTGCTCATAGAAAACAGTTACACTTTGCAGAGCATACATAAAAACAACAAAAAACAGATTATTGCATTAAGGTTTGTCTTGCCTTACTCATATTATTTCCGCAAAGCCATACAGCGTTGAAGGGCATTTTTGCTTGCTCGTTTTGAGGAGCGAGTGCAAGGAAAAACAAGGAATTCATCTAAGCAAACAAATGACTTTGCAGAAACTTTAGAGAGAAAAACATCACTTCTGAGCACCAAATATGCTTGCACAGCTTTGACAGACACATGCTATGGTATTCCTTTTCTGAATACCACAACTGTTTAATTCTGAAACACCACAGCAAATAAAATAAGAACTTGGGAAAACCTATGCCAACAAATGGCAGTAACACCATCGTGCAGTCAAACTATGCCGTGTTTACATATCAGAATGAAACAGGTAGTTTGTTTTTAAAGATTGATTTTTATAAGCAACAAAGCAAGATCAAGTTTTCCAAGCATTCATAAACAAGTAAGCACAAATAAGGATTTCAACATTATAAATAACGAACAGTGCTTCCACTTTTATAATAACCACATTACGTAGGGTAAAAGGGTAAAGCGATTGAAAGTAAAGTGATTGAAAAGACTATCAGAAAGACAAGTTGAACCTTATTTCTTTTTAGCAACTTTTACAGCATCAAATAGAAACCCATTATGGTGCTTGCTCTAGATCTGACAAGGCAAAGCCCTATCCAGAATAACTAAAAAATTAAGTCACTAACTTCCTAATTTCATTTTTTGCTACAAAAACGTCAGATGCAAGATAATAACTGCCAGTCCTCATAGGACAGAATATGGCAAGCTTAGGAACACTAAAGCTAAAAGACACAGTCAGGGCAGAAGCCCTCACGCACAGCCTACCGCGCAGAAGAGGCAGCAGGTATTCCTGAGGAGGAGGAGGAGGAAGGAGACAGGGAAGAGGACCGGAGAAACGAGGTCCAAAAAAGGCCCCGGCTAACCTCCCCGCGCAGGCCCTGAGCCGAACCAGGTGAGGCAGGGGGCGGCAAGGGGGCGGCGAAGGGGCCACGGGGAGAAGAAATACCGGACAAACCGAGGCGGGAGGGGGAGGCCCGGAGGGGAGCGAAGGAACCGGGAGGGAAGGGGGGGG